CCGGGGATGGGGCTGGATTCACACAGGGGATGCTGTCCTCAGTGCCCTGTCCCGGGGATGAGGTGTCTGGGGGAGCAGTGCTGTTCCCCACTGTTCAGTACTCACTGCAGGTGATGTTCCCATCGCGGGAGGTGAAGCTGTACGGGGTGATCAGGGGGCTGCATCTGCCCACCCTCAGCCTCCTGTAGCAGCAGTCGTGGGCTTGGCAGCACCTGCGGGGACACCACGTCAAACCATGGTCCCTGGAGGGCAGGGGAAGGTCCAGCCTCAAATTTAAGGCGAAGGAAGAGGCGGCAAGGCAAGATTTGCAAACCCGCACCCAGCGCTGGGAGGCAGAGCCTGGGAGGGGCTTTTAGGGACCGGGGCTGGGAATGGTGGTGCCGTTGTGGGTACTCACTGGTCGGTGGGATCCACGGGGGTCCCGGAGCCCCCGATGCCGCAGAAACAGCCGTACCAGCTGTAGGACAGCAGGGCACTCCTGCCCGTGGCCGCCCGGATCATCCGCTCCAGCTCCAGGACGCTGGTGCCAGCCGGGAGCAGCCCTGCAGGGACACGGGGGGCGGGGGGGATCGTGACAGAACAGGGCAGGGAGCCCGGGGACACTGCCTGCACCTTGCTCCAGGCACGGGCATTAAATCGGTCTGGCATCACTGGAAATTTGCACTGTCAGGATTTGAACCACGAGAAGCTTTATCCCCTCCTCCAGAATGATGGAATCATAGAATGGTTTGGGCTGGAAGAAACTTCAAAGCCTGTCTTGTTCCACCTCTTGCCATGGGCAGGGACACCTTCCACTATCCCAGGTTGCTCCAAGACCCATCCAACCTGGCCTTGGACACTGCCAGGATTGGGGCAGCCACAGCTTCTAGGGGCAACCTATGCCAGGGCCATCCTCTCAGGGAGGATGGCTTTTTCAGTCTGGCTTTTGCAACTTCTGGATTTGGTCTGGCCAGAGCCTCTGGACTGGCTCTGCCATGCTGTTAACTGCAATCCCCCATCACCAGGATCAGCCATGGGCTTGGCACAGGCAAGAAAGGGCCTCCCAAAATAAATACGGATCTCAGCATCCCAAAGCCTCCCAATCACCAAGCCCTCCAGGACTGCTGCAGTTCTACACCAAGCACTAGAGAGAAACTGCCAGATTTAAACAAAAACCTGAATTATGCACAAAGGCTCAGGGTTTGTAGGTGGATTCTGGGGACAGCAGAGCACTTACCACAAGCCAGGAGCACGGCAAGGAAGAGATTCCTCATCCTGGGGCTGCCCTGGAGAGGGAACAAGGACAGGTGATGATCCAGGGGCAGGACAGGAACTTCTCCAGAGCCCACGCCAGGGCCATGAAGCCAGCTGTGTGCCCCTCAGGCGACACTGGTGTCACTGTGGGTACACATCACCGAGGGACTCCCAATGGTTCTGCAGCCCAGTTTTGGGATGTGGGGCTTGGCCTGCCTGGGGCTGCTGGAGCAGCTCAGGACCTGCAGCCTTCCCCCCTGCCCTGAGCTGCCTGTGAGCACCAGGCACTGAAATCCCCTCTCCTTACCCCACCCGGACCTGCAGCTCCAGCGCTGCCGGCTCAGCGGGGTGGGTTTATATCCCTGCGAGGCCCACCCCCTCCTCTATCTGTGCTGATGGTGTCAGTCGTCCTAAGCCAGGCTTGCCTGGAGCAGGGAGCCGATTCCCATCCTTCTCTTCCCCCAAAACCATGAGTTTTCCCGCAGCAGTGAGCACCAATGCTCCCTCCAACATCTTGTTCATCACTGGGCACGAGGCCATCTCCATCCCTGCATGAGGCCATGGCCATGGTTTTAAAATCCATGAGATTTGGTGGCTGGAGAAATGGGATAAAAGTGATTCACACCCAGGATGGCACCTCAGAGGCCACTCAATCCTTTTCCAGGTGTAGAGGCAGCACTTTGGGCTCAGTGTTTCCTCAGTTTTTCCAGCAGAACCCCCTGAAGCCTCAGATGGTTTCCCTCAGCTCCTTCCATGCAGCTGCCCCCTCAAATCCATGGCTGCATCCAAATCCAGCTGTGCCAAATCGCAAGGGAGAACAGCAAACACCAGGATTGCAATTCCTGGGTCTGCAGTTTTCCTGTCCTGCCCAGGGGGCAAGAGGTCTGTGAAATTAAACCAC